CATACGTTTTCCCGCCGTTTACCTGCAATTTACTCCCACTTCTACATGGTCTGTCCCAAACGCGCCACACGTGACACCCGTGACCAAAGAAATTGTATTACTATAGTCGAGCCGTCGAATTTGTGCAGTGGTAAATCACCGTGACAGGTACTTACAAAAAAGGGGGTAGTCGGTTCCTTCGTTATGTAACCGCCTACTCCCATCAGGGTCTATAAGGCGCAGCTACACTATACGAGAATAAACCTTCCTTTACAGTCAGATAAGAAGTTATGAATACCGTTCACAGTGCGTCAGCGGCTTTTATTATTTTTTTGTCTCCAGTAACGCGCTAAGTGCGCTACCCCCAGAAGGGGTGTGGTCACTTAATTTGACGAATCCGGACAGGGCGACCGACGATGTGAGAAATTTACCTACCTGTCACGGTGATTTATCACTGCACAAATTCGATGGCTCGACTATAGTTCCCTAGGAGGACCTATCATAAATCATGTCCAGATACTTTTTCCGGGTGATAATTACTGCCACTACTGTTTCTGAGGGTCATAAAAACCACCAGAAATATCGGACTATACCGGTATTCAGCATTTTCAGGAAACTAACACAAACGGATTGTATTATACCGCACAGTTCATTCCATTATCAACCACATAAAAACGCAGCAATTCATGCTTACATACAAAGAACATTTAACACACCTACGAGTTATGAAAATTTAAATAAAGAACAAGAAACAATTCAGACAATAGCATTGAATAACAAATTTCGGGAAACCTATGTAGATAATTTACTTGAAAGATATCATTTTAAACAATCAATAACAAATTCAACAACTCTAACAGTAAATGAAACACCCAAGATTGCGAGATACAGATTCATTCCATTTGTTAATAAACTTATCTATAAAATTAATTCAATTTTCCGAAAGAATGGTATGAGAGACTATCCATTTGAATCAACTATCCCTTCATCACACATAAATCTCATAAGTACGAAGGCTTTCACGGCCGATGTGAATTAAACTAAAATTAGAACTAAAACTAGAACTAACACTAGAAACTTTCGGGTTTTGCCGTACGTCTTTTAATAAAAGGTTTGACGTTTCGGATGCCATTTGCAACCTTCTTCAGAAACTGGTTCGAAGTGACGAGATCAAAAATCGTTCCCGATTTTTAATCTCGTCACTTTCACTTTCAAGCTTTGCATAGAGAGGACCCACAGTTTACATAACCCTGAACAGTTTTTTAAAAAATTATACAGGATGGTCACAAATGTGCGCCGAATTTCCTTATCTCGAAAAGTCGAAAACTTCATTTTTTTAAATGGCAACCCCAATTTTTTCCTTCACCAGCGTATTGTACGCTAAAAAATAAGGGAACTTTGCCGTTACATCCCTATATCTAAAATGTATGGTTTCCCTAGAAAGTTAAAAAAAAATAAAATTTTCTTGATTTTTAGTAAATTTAAATTTATTAGTTGACTTTCGTTTGATGGAAGTGATATGAAACAAAAACTATTGTACGCTAGAATGTAAAGAGGCTTTGTGATTAACATCAAAACGAAGCTGCTTTTGAAGATACAGCCCATAGTGAGGCTGCAATCAAAAATTCTCCTCAAAGCCCGATCTCCACACATTTTGTAACTTTCGTAATAGAATAAAACTTATAAAAGCACAAGACAAAATGAAGGTACTATATTTAACAATATAAATGAAAAAATAAAAAACAAGAACGAAAAATTAATATAACTATAGTAAATGTTCGAACTGGTTGCCCTCAACTTCCAAACATTTATGAATTCTTTTAAAAACCCGGCATGAGCGGCACTCCGAATTTCTTCGGAAGAGAGAGATCAAAATGCATCGCGGAGTCTTTCTTTGCATTCTTCCTTTGTTGTCATCGGTGTAGCATACATGATACCTTTTATACGGAAAAATTTGTCATAACAGAAAAATTTAATGAAGTGATATCGGGTGAACGGGGAGGCCATTTATGGGGTTAATTGTTAGCTATCCAACGATCGTCAAAACGATTTTGTAAAAGGTTATACAGATACATTTCCGGACAAAGATGTCCGGAAATGACGTGTAAAACGCAAGACCACATGTACCTCGACCAAAAATATGATGATTTAACTCAACTTATCTATATACAAAATTGCTTAGTTTAGCCGCTAGAGGGCTTTAAAAATAATGCGTTTTTTAAATTTTTTTTTAAATAAGTCGAAAAATCCTCATTGGATTCATTAATTATCATATATACTTATTCAGGGTGTATCTGAATGACTGCAACAAACTTCAAGGGGTGATTCTTTAGTGCATTTTAAGGGTACTTTGATATATGAACCATGGGCGATTTCGGCTCCCCTAAGGAGCTACACCCCTCCAAAAATGGCGGAAAATTTTGGTTTAATTTCTTTTTCTCAAAAACCATAAACGCTAGGAAAATGAAATTTGGGGAATATGTTTAACTCATAATAGGGCATGTTTTGACCCTACTTGTACTTTCAACCTACCCTTCTAAATTACTAAACGTAACCACCCCCTTTACATTTTTGCTAATATTTTTTTTATGCAGATAATAAATACATTAAAAAATGTTTACCTATAGTCGAGCCGTCGAATTTGTGCAGTGGTAAATCACCGTGACAAGTACTTACAAAAAAAGGGGTAGTCGGTTCCTTCGTTATGTAACCGCCTACTCTTGCCAGGGCGTATAAGGAGCAGCTAAACTATACGAGAATAAACCTTCCTTTACAGTCAGATAAGAAGTTATGAATACCGTTCACAGTGCGTCGGCGGCTTTTATTTTTTTTTGTCCCCAGGAACGCGCTCAGTGCGCTACCCCAGGAGGGGTATGGTCACTTACTTTGACGAATCCGGACAGTGCGACCTTCGAGGTGAGAAATTTACCTACCTGTCACGGTGATTTATCACTGCACAAATTCGACGGCTCGACTATAGGTCCAGGGACGCACTCCTTTTTTATTTTATTTTAAATTCCACAAAATAAAACAGAAATGTAGTAAAGAATATAAATTTACTTATACTTAAATGATTTTACAAAAAAAGGAAGTATTAATTTATAATATAAAAATTAAAACATATTTGTTATAATTATCTTAGAATTAGTTTTTCACACTAAATAATAAATTTTATAATAATAATCATAAATTATTTAAGCAAATGTACTTTTTAGATAGATTTAAATAAATTGTTGTATTTTCACACAAAGTAATGATATTTAAGTTTTTAAATATTATGTTATTGAAATTTTCGTTAATGTGGACCTGAACAACTCACGCCAGAGTTTGGGGTTCGTAAACTACCTGTATACAACCCCATCTTTGTTCGTTATATGACTGCAATGAAGTCATAAAAACCACCAGAAATATCGGAAACTATACCGTCGCTCTCTGTTTCTAATATACAATTTATGTTGTTGTAAATTTCGTTTATAAGATTATAATATACCCCAAAATCTTGAACGTCTTCGCCATGCCAAGTTATAAATATGTCGTTCACATACCTCTTCCTAAATATTATATTTTTGCTCATTTCTGCTTTTAGTAGTTTAGATTCAAAGTTATTCATAAATATGTCTGAGAAGGGAAGTAACACAACTATGGCACACCTATTTCGATGAAATTTGGTACAGTCATAGAATGGGCTAAAATAAGGCCCTGAGTCGAGTTTTAGAGGTTGAAAGTTTTGGGGAAAAAGTACATTTTTGCCTATATTTCGAAAGTGAAAAGTGCTATCTAAATTTGGTGAATTGAAACTGGTTATTCATTTCTAATAAGCTATTATTTGATGTATTATACATATACTACAGAGTGATCGATTTTGATGGCGTTTAATATACTATATAATATTTTTTTGTTCTCATTCGTCGTAGATCAAACGCAGCGAAGTTACGGGTTTACATATAACCACTGCAGTGCACTGCTCGAAAGAATGATGTGATAAAGCTGTCAGGAATTTTGAACATATTTTAAACAAAATCGTAAATTAGTCGCTTAATAAAATGTTTAGTGTAAAATAAGGCATAATACACCATATAGGGGTTGTTGGGGTTATCCACCCCCTTAAAAATTAATTCTATTCTAGGCATTACTTGTCGAGTTTGGCGAAATATGTCACGGTATTTGTTTTATATGTGAAGTAAAAAATGTTTGAAAATGGTTATAAGGGTTGGGAGTTAGGGGAAGAGGTAAATATAAAACTGTTGAAAATTTATGGGTTAGAAGTAACGAAGAAAAAATAAATACCTTTGCGGAACACCTGCGTAACATCTTTCAACCTCACCCAGATTTATCCCAGCATAGAGAACTAAATTCCGCCTCTTATGTAACCGGTCCACCGATAAAAAAAAAAAAATCTGAGCTTAAAACACTTATAGACTCCCTAAAATAAATCGCTCGGTAACAATCTTATAACCGAACTGGTTCTTAAACATATGCCTGAGCATGTGCTACGAATGGTACTGCTTATCTTCAACGCAATCTCAAGACTAGTATCATTCCCGATACAATGGAAGGTGCCGCAGATAACTATGGTACTGAAACCAAATAAAATCACGAGCGACGAGACTTCCTACCGCAATATAAGTTTACTTCCATTGCTTTCAAAAGTGTTCGAAAAGCTCTTATTGAAGAGACTTCAGAGCATCGTAGTAAATAAAAAGTTAATTCCTAACTATCCATTTGGATTTAGAAAACAGCTTGGTACTATAGAACAAGTACACAGAGTAATGAGATCAACTAGATCGAATTTGGAGTTTCTATCTTTAAATTTAATCCAATACCACAACAATTGTAATTATTCATGCAAGTTTTGTTTTGATTCAAATTTAGTTTAATTTAACACGATTATTTACTCAAAACTTTTTTGTTGTTAATTTGTTTGGAACAAAAATTTAATACAAGGTTTCAACTACACTTAACTTTTTAACGTATATAAAACAAGTACTTCAATAAATAAGTTTGTAGTTCTGTAAATGTGGTTTACAATCCTTCTAGGTTTTAGACTTTCAAATTGTTATTAAAACATGGATCGTATTTTACATGGACCGAAACTATTAACACCTATTCCATTGGTTTCTCTTGGAATCAGATTATTTGATAAACTCAAAGAAAAAGATGACAAAGTTTTATTTGTATACGAAACTTGCACGTAAGAAAAAATTATAAATATTAATTACGATCAATTTTAGATTGACGTGTCAAATGATCAAAAGATTACAAACAAAGAATTTTTAATTTTATCTTGTAAATTAGCTGAAAGTCTTCGATGTTGTGGTTTTAAACAAAACGACGTTTTAGCTATATCGGGGGAAAATAGTATTTTTTATTACGTTCCTGTAGTTGCTGGGTTATTTCTTGGAATGATTTCTGGATTTATTAATCAAACTTATACGAAAAGTATTTTGTTATAAACTTTTTTTTATTAAACATAATAAATTAATTATTTCAGATGAATTTTTAAATCTATATGATATCTACCAACCAAAAATTGTTTTTATATCTTCGAAAGTATTAAATATTTTTATTGAGGAAAAAAATAAATTTCAAGATTTAAAAATAATAATCTTAGACGACGAAGACGTTTCAGGCTATGATACTTTAAGTACCTTTATAGAAAAGAATTGTAACAAAAATATTTGCATCGATAACTTTAAACCTAACAACGTCAATCCAATTGATCAAACTGCTTTTATTACCTCTTCTTCTGGTACAACAGGATTACCTAAAGCTGTTATGATAACTCACGATAACATAGCAATGAGAGTAAATCAATTATACGACCCAAGAGTTTCCTTGGCAAAAGAAGAAATCATATTCTCAATACTCCCATTTTTCCACGTTTCCGGTTTAGTAGTAAACATATCCCACGTAATGAGAGGGAGCCAAATTATTACGATGAAACGATTCAACGAAAAATTATACTTAGAATCAATCGAAAAACACCACATAACACATTTAGCGATTGTTCCGACAATGGCTTACAGTTTTGTTAAAAGTCTCATTTTTAAAAATTACGGCGTTTCAACAATCGAAGAACTTTTCTGTGGAGGCAATTCGTTAAACGAGAAAATCGAAGAAGAACTCGTCGCGTTATTTCCAAATTTAAAATGTTTTCGTCAAGGGTATGGATTAACGGAAGCTACATTAGGGGTAACAATGATGCGAACTGGTGAAAAAAAAGTTGGATCTGCAGGAAAAATCGTTCCTGGAATGTCGCTTTGTATTTGCGATGAATTTGGAAAACGGTTAGGATCTCATGAAGCTGGCGAAATTCTTGTAAAAGGAAGACTGGTTACAAAAGGATATTATCGTAACCCGGAAGCCACTAAGAATACTTTTGTTAATGAGTGGTTGCACACGGGTGATTATGGTTATTACGACGAGGAAGGATTCGTTTTTATAGTCGATAGACTTAAAGATGTAATTAAATATAAAGGGTTTCAAGTAGCACCGGTTGAAATCGAGGGGATTTTATTATCACATCCAAAGGTGAAAGCGGCTTGCGTTGTTGGTAAACCAGATAAACTTGCTGGGGAATTACCCACTGGGTTTGTAGTTAAACAACCAAATGTGGACATAACTGAAGAAGAATTGATTCAATTTGTGGCAGGTAATACCATTTTTTTTAAATTGAAATATATTTGAAGTTTTATTCTTTAAGAACGAATTTCGAAAACGAAACACTTACGAGGAGGGATTTATTTCGTGGAAGATTTACCAAAAACAGCGATTGGAAAAATAAAAAGAAAAGTTTTAAGAGATTCGCTTAAATGTGTTTAATAATAATAACACGTTTACTTCGTTTTTAATATGTATTGCAGGTGGTAGAAAATTTCTTGTATTCAGGTGATAATAATAAAATCTGAAAAAATACCTTTGAACAATGTTGATCAATTTTAAATTCGTAGTTTTAGATTAATTGATTGAATTGTGCATTGAATAATGTTCAAGTGATATTGATGGCATTGATGAATGTTATGTTAAAAAGCAATTAAAAACTCAAAATGATTCAAAAACAAAAAGAACGCACGAGATCTTTGTCTATGTAATATTTTATAGAAATAGTATTTTATTTTCGGGGTATGTCAAACCCCACCTAGTATTTGAGATTAATTCACCTAGTATACGGACGGTTAATTAATGAAATTAACAAATTTCATTTAACAGAAAGAAATATATTCTTGAAGGAAGATTATTACTCTTGGCTCAACCTTATCATATTCTTGTATATCCACACGATCATTTTGTTGAGTGAAGAAAAACCACATATTCTCTAAGCAAGTATACAAATATTATTGATTCTCAAGAAAGCGAATTCTTAGTGAAAGTAAATCAATAATCTTGAAAAAGAATATCTTAGTGTTGAGTCAACAATCACATTTTCGTATCGAGAATTGATTTCGTAAGTCAAAAATAACGTATCTTTCTTTTTAAAAAAACATATTCATGTAACAACAATCTTCAACAAATTTCTTCGTTGTAACAATGAAAATAACGATAAAATCAGTCCGATGAAAAAGTACGTTGACACATTGAACATTTTGCACAAAAGGATGAATTCGTTCATTGATTAATGTAAATTTATTGCATGAATGAATAGCGTACATTGGTTTTTTTAAATCACATTTTATTGAGCTAACAAAGTCGAACATTATAATTATGTGCAGGATTATCCTGCCAATGATACTACTTTATAGTATCAATTAAAGCTGTTCATTGAGTCAATAACATCATACGTTCTTATAATGTACATATTAATCCTGCTAATGAAGCTACTTCATAAAATATTCCTTTATCCAATATTTAATTAACACTATGTACCTTGACTTAGCTAATCACGGCATTTAATGTCACTGCATGACGGTAGTTATAAACACAGTACGCTAATAATTACTATCAAGGGAAGCTATGAAAAAAAAAACTTCTGTCCTCGATTATACCTATATAATGTGACAAGTTGTAAAAATTGTAAGTATGATAAGGTAGTTGATAAGTTCTTCTTATCATAATTTTCTTGGAGAAAGAAATTCGTTGATCACAGGGTATCTTTTATCCTTTCACATTTAGAAATTTTTTAACATATACAGCGTGTCCCGTATCTTCCGCATCAGAGCATTATACGGTTGTAGAATACATTATTCTGAAGCGATCTTTCTAATAAAATTTTTTCGAAATGTTTATAATAACCGCACGGGAACTGTTTAACGACGACCAATAACGGACAACTTTGATTCATCGAAAAAGTTTATTTCTCTTTCCATGACGAATTTATTGGTGAGTACACGTGGGAAACGAGTTATCATCGGCGTAGCGGACCGGCCGAGGGTGGCACCGATTACCTGAGTCTGATTTGCGATCTGCTGATTGGACGAAAAACAGTTCCTTTAAACAGTTCCCGTGCGGTTATTATAAACATTTCGAAAAAATTTTATTAGAAAGATCGCTTCAGAATAATGTATCCTACAACCGTATAATGCTCTGATGCGGAAGATACGGGACACGCTGTATAAGGTAATACTAATCAGACAATTAAACACCAAATTCTTTTTTAGGCTTTATTGTACTGCAACACATATCTAAATAAAAAAATAAAAAAATTCTCAAATAAATAAATATATAAGTTATAAGCCGAGAACAAAGAAAATATAAAAGAAATGATCAGCAGATTCTTTTGTAATCGCCGTAATAAATTAATGCGCTCAACTAGAGATAATTTAGTCTAGTATCAATATTCATTGTATTAGATTCAGTGTCTTTTTGTAATCAAGTTTAAAATAAATAAGTTTTTAACTTTTTAAAAATAGTTTCACTATAACGAAAAAGTTAACTTATATATATAAATATTCTCGCCAATTGCCATCACAAAAGGTTGTATTAGTGCAGCCACGAGTAGTATAAGAGTTTTGTAAATTATTAACTATTCCTACTCATGTTACGACTGCAGAGTTGTTTGCACAGCGCATTATAGAACTTCTGACTTCTGCACCACAGTTACTCTTTGAGTCCACACTAGAACCAAGAAAAATAATCTCCTACCCCACTTCGAAATTCTCAGTGTCGATTGCAAAATTCTCTCCGAAATCAACAAAGATAAGCATCAATGTAGCTACTGGCATGATCGTTGTTTTTTGTTCATTTATTTGTAGCCGATAGCTGTAGGCTAAGCCATAGTGCTGTATAAATTCCTACCATTTGCAACAAAGTTCTGGCGATGATATCAACATCTAATTATGTAGATTTAATTATTATCGTGCCTCTAGTACCTATATTCGTCTCTTTCAGTTTCATTTCCGTTACTTCTATATTCTTCAATATGTTATTTTATATTTTTATGTAGCATCTGAAGTTACTTATTGTCATTTTTACTTTCCACGTCACAGCAGAAGTTTGGCCGCAAAGGATAAGGAGAAAGATATTAGATCTCGTCAGGAGAGTAGAGGGAACTACAATAAATGTGGTGATTTTAGGGTCGGAAAAAATATAGGATGAGGAAGAATGAGAAGGAGAGAAAAAAATGGGAGAACACGATCGATGGGATCGAGAGATTAAGAGGAAAGTGGACAGGCCGGTGGAAAAAATTGCATAGGGTGTATGCACAATAAACGAGCAGAGCAGTGTCGAAGGCATGGGATAAGCTAAGGCTAAATACACTACATTACGCCAAAGAAACCATTAGAACCAGACTTGTGACGAACAGTGGGAGAATAAACACGAAACAGTGGTTTACAGAAGACGTGGAAAGGTTAATAACATACCTGCAATACAGAAGTAACAAAACACCAGACGAACATAAGAAGTACAAACAAATAAGAAATAGAGTAAAGGCGTTGAAAAAGGAATACTGGCAAAAATTCGCTAAGGATTTGGAACACGACCTGTACGAGGGACAGAAGAAAATTTGGAACATGCTCAGAAATAAAAAGAAACCGCTAAATGAACATAACCAATCAACATAATCTTTAAAGAAGACTGAGCAGACAAGTTTCAAAAACTTTAGCAGCCACTTGCAAATAACACGGACGAGGGCAATCAGGAAACAACGGAAATTATGAATTACTATGTAATCACCACAATATCAAAACTCAAAAACCGTAAATTGCTAACCAAATTGCTAACGAGATAATTAAATACGGCAGACAAGAAGTTACAAAAGAAATAACCACCCTATTCGAAAAAATAAGGAATAAGTGAAGAACAGCAAGGATTCAGATCCAACAGGTCCACTATAGATGCAATATTCCAGCTACATGAATTAACCGAGAAATTCATAGAGTTCAATAAGCCTGCCTCTGCTTCGTCGACAAACATTCGATAAAATACAGGTTTGTAATGTGTTAAGAATACTATAACAGAGTAACATCGATAGAGCAGTAACACACTTAATAAACGAACTGAATAGTGCAGGACTCAAAAACCGCGGTGGACTAACGGAGGAAATCCCCGTATTAACCGGTATTAGACAGGGTGATACAGAATATCTCTGCACGCTGAGCCTCTGAGCCCTGCGCTTTTTAATATGATTATGGACCAAATTATAAGTAGCGTCATGAACTGGTAGGAAGTTGATTAAGAAATAATACCTTTGCTACTTTGAACTGCCTTACTAGGTGTTACCGGACATATGGAAAACTTTCTTGCAGAAGGAAAAATGGAGGGTGAAAGAGCAATAAGTATAGGAGAATATAGTGTTGTATATAAGGTGATTTAAATAAAACCAAAATCGATTAATTCGTGTTTACGATTAGCTTTTTCAAGATGCCCAATTCATTCAATGATTTTATTTTGTCGAAAACGATTTCGTTTTTTTTTGATGTAATAAAGTGATAAGTAACCATAATAAAGAGTTACTAAAATAAACAGCATCAAGCTCGTTTCTATCTTTGTTAGTACTTGAATTTTCGACTCCGCAATGGTTAGAATTGTGTACGTTATACCACCAAGTATGAAATAAATTAACATAACTTGCTGAATTTTGTGATAGAGAATAACTTGTAACTGCACAATTGGGTGGCACAAAACCCATAAATTTTAAAAGTTTTCTTGTTCGTGGCATGTAATCCATTTTATACACGAAGTATTATTACAGATGTAATTAGAATTGTAGTGAGTGATTGCTACAAAGAGTAGCAATAAAACTAACGTTATGCGCATTGAGATGTATTATACAGGGTGCGCATTGAGATGTATTATACAGGTTGCCCATTATGTATGGAATATAGTATATATCTTGGTAAATATCTACTTCATAAAAAAACATTTTATACAAAAGTTGTTTAATATTTTATTTGCCATAATAAGAAAGCATTCAATTGTTTTTATTTCAGAAAACAAACGAGCAACGAATAACACATTCGTTAGGCTCATTTGATAGAGCTTTTTTTTCTCTTTACGATGACGTAACATTTTACCATTTTATCAGAAAATTTTTGAAAAAAATGTAAAAATTGTTTATTATGAAAATTTAACTAATAACATTAATCTAGATATCCGAGATCATCAAGTACCTCGAATTATTGGAGATGTACCCTAATTTTTCGTTTATTTGTTTTATTTTGCATGTAAATTTAATTTACGGCAATAATTCGAGGTACTTGACGATCTCGGATATCTAGATTAATGTTATTGAATAATTTTTGTTGATAAACAATTTCTACATTTTTTTCAAAAAATTTCTGATGTAAGGGTACATAGTATATTGTGTCTCAAGGGCAGACAATAAGCATTAGCAGCCCGAGGCCATTAGCTAATAGATAAGCGCTGCTAATGCATTTCTGCACGTGTGACACACAACTGTTTTTCGCCTCCCATTAAACCAAACAAAATTGCAAAAATATAATGTCAATGAAGACTAACTAGATTGTGATGAAAAACTA